ACACCCCAGTGTCCTCTAAGGGATCCCTTTTCTCAGAGTGCTCAGGCAAGGAAGGAGGAGGTATTGCTATCCTTAGGTCAGCCTGGCCCTTGGGGACAGAGGAGGCAGTGAGTGCTGCACAGGGACATAGTGTCACCTGCCACCAGCCCAGACAAGAGCAGAACTTTAGAGGGCAGCTGCTTGGCTATTTAACAATTTTGTCCCTCTGGACACCAAAAATAAATGATTTAATCTAGTTCTGCCTCCATGCCCATCAGAAAAGCAATTCATGATTATACAGAAAATGTAGAATGACAGAAAAGAAAATATTCCACAACACAATCTCACTACTCACTGATAGATAACCATTATTAACAATTCTGTTTACACTTTCTAGTCATTTTTAAATTGCCTATTATCATGCTTAGTTTAATTAAGTGAGCTTTTTCTTTCCTTTACTCTAATGCTTTAACATCTTGAGGCCTTGCTAACCCTGGAAGTACGGCCTCTTCCAAGTTTAGCCAATTTCTAGAGATAGTGAGAGATTCACTTAGAGTGCCTCACACGTGCAAACCAACAAGTTTAAAGCCCACAGCCCAAGCACTTCCTTTATTGGTAATATGGTTTGGTTATGTCCCCACCCAAATCTCATCTTCATTTGGAGTTCCCATAATCCCCATGTGTTGTGGGAGGAATCTGGTGGGAGGTAGTTGAATCATGGGGGTGATGATTTTATAAGGGGCTCATTCTCCTGCCATCTTGTGAAGAGGTGCCTTCCGCCATTGTTGTAAGTTTCCTGAGGTCTCCCCAACCATGCAGAACTGTGAATCAATTAAACCTCTTTTCCTTATAAATTGCCCAGTCTTGGGTATTTTTCCATAGCAGCATGAAAATTAACTAATACAATTGGGCTCTTACACTCAGGGTTACTTACTATTCCCCTTTTCCAGTCACTCCAGAGCCAGCTGTCAGCAACTAAGGACAGCCCCCATGCCCCAGAGCCCAGTGAAATTCTTTAAGTGAGTCAATCCTAAGCCTGCCTACCTTGCCTCACCCATTCTTTCCTGCAGAAACCACAGAAAAAGCTCTTGCCTGCATTTTCCCCTCACTCTCTCTCTGCCTCCTGACAGATTCTGGTGCTCCTCTTTGTGCCTTCCCATGGCCCCCACTGCTGCATGGTGCACCCCTCCTCATGGGATGTGTGAACATAACTGTCTGTTCAATGGCAGTCATCTCCTGATCGGAATACCATACATGAATAATAATAAAAATCTGCATTTTCAGGCACTGTAGTATCCAGTTATTGACAAACACTGATCTGGATGTTGCAGTGAAGGTATTTTGCAGATGTGGTTAACATCAGCAATCAGTTGACTTTGGGTAGAAAAGATTCTCCTCTATAATCTGGATGGCCCTTGACATGGTTTGGATCTGTGTCCCCACCCAAATCTCATGTTGACTTGTAATTCCCAGTGTTGGAGGTGGGACCTGGTTGGTGGGGGGGAGGTGATTGGATCATGGGAGTAGTGTTTAATGTTTTAGCACCATCCTCCTAGTGCTGTCTCATGATAGAATTCTCATGAGATCCGGTGGTTTAAAAGTGTATACCACCCTACTACCAACCCCCTTCACTCTCTTCCTCCTGCTCTGGACTTGCAAGAGGAGCCTGCTTTCCCATCACTTTCCATCATGATTGTCAGTTTCCTGAGGCCTCCCCAGAAGCCAAGCAGATGGCCAGCATCATGCTTCCTGTACAGCCGGCAGAACTGTGAGCCAATTAAACCTCTTGTCTTTATAAATTACTCAGTCTCAGCTATTTCTTCATAGCAATGCGAGAACTAACTAATACAGCCCTCATCCAACCAGTTGAAGGGCCAGTTAAGAGTATAACTGAGGTTTCCCAGAAAAGAACATCCATACAGAAAAGTGTACAAAAACAAAAACAAAAATGTATGGCTCAGTATATTACCACAGACTTACTGTGAATACCCATGTAGCCAGAACAAAAAACACACTCTAATTTCTCCTCTTCGTCACTAATCCCTCATATCCCCTCATATCACCTCCCCATCACTAATCTTTCCCTCCCCACCATAAATAAATTTTACAACCACTTCCTCATTTTCTTTGTAACTGTATCACTTAAGTGTGCATTCCTAAACACTATGGTAGCTTGCCTGCCTTTTTGAATTTTATATAAATTGAATCATACAGGATACAAACGAATGCATGATTTCGTATTTGATGTCTTTTGCTCAACATCATGAGATGGATCCACTCTGTTGTGTTACTTTGGTTGGTTCAATTTCATTGCCAGATAGCATTCCATTATGTGAATAGTCCAGTATTTACTATTCATTCTGCTGTTGATAGACACGTGGTTTGTCTCCAGTTTTTGGCCAACATGAATAATGTTGCTAGGGACACTTGTATGTAGCCTCACAGCACACAGGTACATATATTTCTTCTGTTAGGCATATACTTAAGAGTGGAATTGCTCATAGGATAAGCCTATCTTCAACCTCAATAAACAATGCCAAATAATTTTCCTGAGTGATTGTAATAATTTACATTTCTATAAGCCATGCATGAGAGTCCTAGTTACTTCACATCCTTACCAATTATTAGTACTGGCATTTTTTTTTCTATTTAAATATTAGCCATTGTGGTGGGTATACAGAGGTAAGTCATTTTGGTTATAATTTGCATTTCTTGATGACTAATGAAAGTAATTGTCTTTTCTTGTTTAGAGGACATTTGAATATCCAGTTTGTAAACTACTCATTAAGATCTTTTGAGCATATTTCCATTGGGCTTTCTGGCTTTGTCTTATTGATTTATAAGAGTTCCTAATGTATTGTACATTGAATTCCTTCTTGTTATATTTACTGCAAATATCTTCTCCCATCATGTGGCTTGTCTTCTCACTTTATGATGGTGTCTTTGGGGGAAGGAGGATGCTATTTTTGATGTAGTCAAACTTGCTAAACTTTTACTTTACGGTAAGTTCTTTCTGAGTTGTGTTTAAGAAATCTTTGCTTACTCCGAGATTGAGAAGATATGTTTCTAGATTGTATTTTTCACATTCAGATCTAAAATCTCCTTAGAATTGATTTGCATAGATGGTATAAAAAAGAATCAATACTAATTTTGTTCTATATGGATATCCAATTGACCCAGCACTATTTGTTGTGAAGATGCATCCTTTTCTTCATTGTCCTGTAGTGCCACCTTTATAATATATCACATTTTTGTATATGTATTGATAGGTTTCTGAATTCTCCATTTGATTATTTTGGCTCATTTATCTAGCATGTCAACATCACCACAATGTCTTAAATATAGCAATTAAGATCTTCATATCAAGGAGAGCTGGTACTTTATCATTCCTTCTTAATATTACCTTGGCTATTTGTGCCTATATGCATTTCAGTATAAATTTTAGGATCAGCTTATTAATATACACACATAAAATATCTGTTGAGATTTTGATTGGGATTGCATTAAATGTACAGATCAGTTTGGGGGAATTGACATCTTTCAATGTATGAATATAATATAATTTTCTATTTTTTACAATTATCTTCAATTTTCCTCAATAATATTATGTAAATTTTCTGATAGTGGTCCTGAATAGTTTTACTAGTTTTCAGCCTACCTAGATGTTGAATGGCTTTGTATATATGTAAAAATAACATTTTATTTTCTAATTGTTGCTGGTTTATAGAAATACAATAGATTTTTAATATTAAATTTATATTCAATAATTTTCTAAATCTTACCTATTTCAGTTAATCAGAAATTGTTTTACATTTTCTATAAGCACAATTATACTCTTTGTGAATCATATTCCTTGCCTTATTGCACTGGCTCAGTCCCTCGATATAATGCTAAATAGAGGTGGTTGTCTTTCCCCATCTCAAGGGGAGACTTTAAGATAAATATGATGTTTGCAGTAAGTTGTTTTAGGTAAATACTCTCTATCAGGTTAAGAAAGTTCTCTTCTATTCATAATTTAAGACTTTTGCTTCTTAATTATAAATGGTTGTAAAATTTTATAAAGTAAAATTTCTACATTTATAGAGATAATAACACAATTTTGCTTATTTATTTTGCTAGTATGGTGGATTGCAATGGTTAATTTTCTAGTGTTAAGCAAAGTTAAGTTTATTACTGAAATAAAAATGTACCCAGAATTACTGGAATAAACTCAACTTGGTTTCAAAATATTATATTTTGCTAATATTTCAGTATTTGTTTTTCCAATCTTGTGTTCAGATTTTGTGTCTTTATTTATATGATACATCAATCTTTAATTTTCCTGTCTTATAAATGCCTCATGAGATTTTGGTGTCGAGGTTACACAGCTGAAAAACTTTTTATCTTTTTTTATTTTCCTGAAGAGTTCATGCAAAATTGGTGTTGTTTTTCTTTTCTTTTCTTTTTTTCAAGTTGGAAAACAGTTTAATGATCACTCACCAAAATCCACAGGAGAATCTTAAATGCTTACAAGCACCAGTTATTCCACGATTCCTGCCTTTACCACGTCCTTCATGGTAGAGTATCACAAGTAAAAGTTTCTGGTTGTTTCATCTACTTAATACCGGATGTAAGAAACAAACTAAGTCTTAGCAACTTTAGGCTTCAATGTGAAACCATTAAACCTCTTGGCACTTAAGGAGGCTGAGGCAGGAGGGCTGCTTCAAGCCAAGAGTTCATGACCAGCCTGGGCAACAAAGCAAGACCCCATGTCCATAAAAAATAAAAATAAGTTAACTGGACACAGTAGTGTGTGTCTGTAGTCCTAGCTGCTCAGGAGATTGAGGTGGGAGTGTCACTTAAGCCCAGGAATTCAAGGCTGCAGTCATGCCGCTGCACTCCAGCACTCTAGCCTGGGTGACACAGCAAGACCCTATCTAAAAAAAAAAAAAACTCTTGGAAAGATTTTCTCTCTGAAAGCAGTTCTCCTGTCCAGAAAATGTTTATGGCCCACACATCTTCCAACTGGCCAAGACAGTTAAATGCTACATACTTTCTAAGTGTGATGAATAATCAGAGTTTTGAGAGACATTAAAATCATGGAATCCTTGGAGAACTGAGATACTAAAGCACCAGCAGACAGTCTTATAGGAAGTCTGGAACCAATACTTCTTCTGTCAGTAATAGGCCTTTCTAGACTTTGGTCTAGAAGATGATTTTTTTGTGCTTCAAGTTAGGGATCTGTCCTTTTGACTTTAACCTTCTAACGGCTTCCCTCATATGTTTGGGTTGCAGTGGTGGCATTTCTCCCCACTTCTCACACACATCCAGTGCTTCTTCTACCACCTGCCCGACGAAAACCTTGGAAATACCAGACATAGCAATAACAACATTCTGAGACACAGAGGTGCCCGTGATGGACTGGATCAGTCTTTTGATGGCTGTCTTAGGGAAAGCTGAGCGAGGATACATTTCATAATGGTTCAGCTGCTCTTCAGAAAAAGAAGAAACCAGGGTTTCCATCTTCTGAATCTCATCTTCATCTACCTTCTGCTTCTTCTCTTTCTTTTCTTTGGTATCTATTTTCAGTTTTTTGGCTGCAGGAGTAAGTAATGATGAGTCTTCCCTTTCAACTGCTGTTAAATCTGAGACATCCTGACTCTTGAGCTCGCCTTCCTCTGCTGCAGCTTCTTGTAAGTCCGCATCTGCGTCTTCCGTCAGTTTCCTCTGGGATTCCATCCGTGTCGGTAGCCCCCGGGTCCCCGGGCGCAGCGATGGTCTCATCCGACTCCCCTGTCTCTCCACCTTAGTCTGTGGGCGACTCGCGGGCATCGTCCATCGCGGATAGGATTAGAAGGGAGAGGAGATCGCAGCACTGTCCGAGGCTGGAGCTCGGAATCCCGAGCTGCACAGGACAGGATCTTCTGGTGTTGTTTTTCTAAGCGTGCGAAATAATTTACTGATGAAGCCATCCGGACCCAAATCTTTCAGTGATGGGAAACTTTATAGTCACAGATTTATTGTTTCTATTAGATTTAGCACTATTCTCATTTCTCAGTTCTTCTAGTGTCAGTTTCGGTAAACCAAATATTCCTGTTTCTTACATTTTAATTTTCGAATGTATTAGTGTAAAGTTACTTATAATATCGTCTTTTATCATTTTGATATCTTTGAGAATTGCAGTAATGTCTCCTTTTAAACTTAATTCCAGATAGTGGTTATTTTTGTCTTCTTTTCTTTTTATTTGATTAACCTTAAGAGGGAATTGTTAGTTTTATTAGTTATTTTAAGGAATCAGCTTTTGGCTTTATTTAATTTCTATATTTTTGTTTGTTTTCTATTTTATTAATTTCTGCTGTTAGCTTTATTTCTTATTACCTTCTACTTTGTAGGGGAGGGAGGTTAATTTACTGTTCTTTTTTTCTAACTTCTCAAGTTTGATACTTAGGTTGCTGAGTTTCAGAGTTTTTTGTTTGCTTGTTTGTTTTAATCTAAGGCTGTGTCACTTACTCTAAGCATTACTTTAGCTTTATTCCACAAATGTTGATGTGTCATATTTCAACATCATTCAGTTAAAAATATTTTCTAATTTCCATTATGATTTATTCTTTTACATGTCTATTTTTTAGAAGTATATTGCTTAATTTATAAACATATGGGGGTTTTCTACTTATTGTTTGATTATCAATTTCTAGCTTATGGTGTTTTATTGAGAGAATTTGTTAAGTGATTTTGGTATTTGAAATGTATTGATACTTGCTTTGTGTTCCAGCATACATTCATGTATAGATTATGTTTTAAAGGAACGCTTGAAAAGAATGTGTATTTGGAGTCATTGATTCCAGATTTCTGTATGTGTATATATATATATATCAATTAAGTCAAGTTTGCTAATTATGTTATTCAAATCTACTACCTTTTTACTGATTGTTTTATTAGTAACTTAAGAACTGTATTAAAATATTTCTCTATGACTGTGTACTTATTTATTCTCCTTATACTTCTGAATATTTTTGCTTTATGTGTTTTAAAGTGGTCTTATTTACTGCATGCAATTCATAATTACTATATAATTTGTTTACAAATTATAACTTTTTGAATTTCAAACTTTCTTGTCATTAGTAATTATTTTTTTCCTTGAAATCTACATTGTCTGAGGATTTTTAATTTCTTAAAATTTGGCATGAGGTTCATAGGGCTTCTTGAATCTATGAGCTAATGTCTTGTTAGTTTTAGAAAACTTGTTATAATTTCTTCAAATATTGCTTCTACTCTATTCCCTCTCTCCTTCTGGGATTCCAATTCCAATTTGTTTTTATAACATCATTTTAATCTCTCCCTCTCTTTCTCTCTCCTTCATTGTGGTTCTGTTTGACCTATTTTCCATTTCACTAATTCTCTCTTCAGTTTTGTCTAATTTTTAAAAACATATATTCATTGAGTTCTAATTTTTGTTATTACATATTTTAGTTCTATATTTCATTTTTTGTTTCTTTTAAAATATACTATATTCTTTTTAAAAACAGGTATTCTAGAGTTAATTACCAAAAATTCTCTCTTGTCTTTTTCATGATCATAGTTAAGCATAGTTATTTTAAAGTCTATGTCTAATAACTTCAATCTTCAATATCTGGAATCCCTGTAGCTCTGTTTCTATTATCTTTATCTCACTAGTTCTTATTAATGTTCTCTTCTCTTTTTTTTCATATTTGATGATGATGGTGATGATGATGATGACTGTGAGCTAGGCTTTGTATTTGAAAAATAATTTTTGGAAATAATTTGTAGACTATGCTGATAGTTATCTTCTAGAAAGAATTTTCATTTGCTTCTGTAGGGTACCTGGGAACATTAGCAATATGGCATTGCCTTAATCCCATTTTCATTGAGATTACTGAAAATTGGACTGTAGTCTTTGCCATAGATCTTTCCAAGTGCAGAGGTTTTACCAGGTGCCATCCAACCTTGGAAAACACTTGACAACTTTATTCTCTTACCACTGTGAGTCTGCAGAAGGTACTGTTCAGCCTTTCAGCTTCTCAGTGTCTCTTCTAGAATTGACAAATGCTCTCAGAGGAGAAGCGTCCTAAAATCCAGGCTCATCTCTCTGGGTTACCATCCCCTCCTAGATCTTGGCCCAATAATTCTTCAGTATCTTGTTACTACTCTCCTGCCTTAGAGGGATTTTAAGAATACTTTGTCCAACTTGTCTCATGGTACATAGTTTGGGAGATTAGTCTAAGTTACCTTGTTCTTCATTCCTGGAAGTGAAGGTTGAGATGACATTACATAATCATCACATACTCAATATTGTATGAATTGCACTCATCTTATAATGAGTGCTATATCCCTCAACAGATAGTTTTAACTACTAGACTTGGTGCATAGATTAAGAAGTAGCAAGATCTCCTGGACCAATCATTGGACTGCCTATTTGAATACAAGCTCTTTTCTCTCCCTATCACTGACTGCACATGGCTCAAGCTGCAGTGGCCTTAGAGTCATGACATTTCAGTTTTACTGTTTGTTCCCACCTTCTTTTTACATAAGGGAGAAAACTCAGTAATGCCTATGATAAGCCTAGAATTCTTGGCAGAGGAATTCTGTGTCTGATACAATTTGTGGAAGAAGCCCTCTCTTTCCTTACTTTTGAAGGTGTGCTCTGGATTGAGGCAAACAAACCTTGATTCTGCTACCCTCCTACTTCCAGAGTGCTGATAGACATGATTAAGAATTTTATTAACTGAAGTGGAGAAAAAGTGGAATTCCAAAGCTTCTACCTAGCTTTCATGTAGCTAAGATGGACATAAAGAGTGCATGAGTGTTTGTAAAGTTAAGGGAACAGATCCCGTTTCCTATGTCTGGTGGACATGTTCTAAAAGCAGAATTAGTAAAAAAGAAAAATAGAAATTTCTCTGCCTATGTTTTCATATTACAGACTGGGAAACTCTTGACCAATTATGTCATTTTTAGAAAATATTTATTACTCTAAATATGAGTTTAGGTTCCACTAACTTTGAGAATTGTATGATATCTGGAATGGAAGTTATATGTATTCTGTCCAAGTCTAAAGTCTCACTGGTGTTAAGACTTTGGAAGAATCTAGACTTGGAGTGACAATGCCTACCCTGTCTTGCCCCACAGAAGTGTTACTGCAGGCTGTGGAACTCAGGTGGTTGGGTTCTAGTTCAGGGATTATTATACCCCATGGGTTGCACTGATGTGTGGCAAAACAGCTCCAACATAAAACAAACGTTTTGTTTCATGTTTCAAACACGTGTGTGTGTGTGTGTGTGTGTGTGTGTGTGTGTGTGTGTGTTGGAGTTTGGCTCTTTTTGCCCAGGCTGGAATGCAATGGTGTGATCTCGGCTCACTGAAACCTCTACCTCGCAGGTTAAAGTGATTCTCCTACCTCAGCCTCCCAAGTAGCTGGGATTACAGGCGTGCACCACCACACCCAGCTGATTTTGTATTTTTAGTAGAGATGGAGTTTCACCATGTTGGTCAGGCAGGTCTGGAAATCCTGACCTCAGGTGATTCACTTGCCTCAGCCTCCCAAAGTACTGGGATTGCGAGTATGAACCACCATGCCCAATCTCAAACACTTTTTGGAAAAACAAAATGTTTTTCCTAAAGAGAAACAGAGATAAAAGGATTGAGGTGACTCTTATGTCTAAAGAAAGGAGGAAAGAAAAAGACCTTAAGGCAAGGAAGCTCAGACAGGAAGAGTTTATCCTATTTTCTCTTTCCCTGATTCCCCTCAGTTGTGAAAACTGTTGTATTTCACTTTCAGTTTGAAACACTTTTCCTTTCATAATTTTTTTTTCTATTTATCTCTATACTTTCAGTAACATTCACTGTACAAGCAACAGCCTGTGTTGGCATGTATGTGTGCTGCAGGGAATTAAAGAGGGCAAGGGAAGTGGGGTCTGGCCCAGGACCATCCCTCCTCTGAGGGCACTGTAACAGCAGCAGCAGTACTGTATCAAATGGGGACAGCATAACAATCAGCAGGAAAACTAACAAGGCCTGACCTCCTTCTACCCTCACTGTCCCCCCTTAGACTAGAGGAAGATGCTCTTTGAAGAGAGAGAACAGATGCTGTGTTACACTGAATGCTTGCTCAGAAATACCCACGTTTATGGAAGCTTCATGTTTGGGCTGGATAAAGGGTGGGAGGATCTGACAGAGCCAGGATGAGGGTGAGACAACTGAGGTGAGTCGTGCAAGTGCGCGGCCCAATCCTGCCTCTATTTAAAAATTTTTGATTTTTTTCATCATAGATTTTCTTTGCATTAATTTTGAATTTTGAATTTTTAAAATCTTGCATGAACATTCTTGACAACTGAGGTTTTTCTTTTGTTGCCTACTTAAATTTGGGGCCCTAGACAAATGTCTCACTTGCTTTCTCTAGTCATGGCCCTGCATCTCACACACACAAACACACACACAGACACACACAGATACACAAACACACACACACACACACAACTTGGACCCCATTCTTCATCTCTACAAAACACATCCTGGTTTTTGTTTTGTTTTGTTTGTTTGTTTGTTTGTTTTGAGACAGAGTTTCACTCCTTGCCCCGTCTGGAGTGCAATGGCGTGATCTCAGCTCACTGCAACCTCTGCCTCCTGAGTTCAAGTGATTCTCCTGCCATAGCCTCCCAAGTAGCTGGGATTACAGGCATGTAATGCCAGCTAATTTTGTATTTAGTAGAGATGGAGTTTCTCCATGTTGGTCAGGCTGATCTCGAACTCCCGACCTCAGGTGATCTGCCCCCCCCCAGCATCCCAAAGTCCTGGGATTACAGGCATGAGCTGCCATGCCCAGTCATACATACCAGTTTTTTTGAGCTCCTCATACTGTGCTACCAAGGGTGTCTGCTGCTTACAATGCCATTTTCTCTTCCCC